CCCAGTGAGGCCACACAAGCATCATTGTAGTTTTTCTGATGCTCACAGAGCTGGTGACAGTTTGGAGCCCCCCTCTTCCCTGAGCAAAAGCAGTAGAATGTATTGAAATGAAAAAGTAATTGGAAATTATTGGGAACAGTTTTTTTATTATGTTAAAAATTGACTCAGGAGCTGAGTTTGATATTACGTGTTGGTAGTCCCAACTCTCTGGGAAGCTGCAGCAGAAAGATCTGATGTTCAGCCCCAGCCTAGACAATTTAGCAACTTATTTTGCCTTAAAATAAAAAAAGGGCTGGAGGTACAGCTCAGTGCTGTGGTTCGTCCCCAACAATAACAACAACACACACTGACACACATGGTGGAGGGGGAGAAAAGAAAGAAAACTGTCACTAGCAGCAATCTAGAGATCTGTTTTGAGTGATAACAATTCTAAGGTAAATCTGTGTCTTGCCTGCCAGAATCTATTTGGGGAATTAGCTAAACAGAAGATGTTCCTGTTGCCAGTGAGGTCACTGCCCTCACTGTAGAGTATCTACTTAGTCCTTGTAGAGTCCAGGGGAGGGATTTCATGTTTTAACATTTTCTTTCAAGTATATTTAAATTACACCATTTTCAAAAGAATGAGTTTATTTAGCTATTCATGTATCAAAGTAATGAGGGGCCTTAGACTTGGCAGCAAAGTAGGTATAGGATAGAGTGACTGTGTGCGCATACAGTGAGTATCCACTTCAGGCTGCACCTTCTTAATATTTCAATACATATCATTTTGTTTTTATTGAGGAAAAATGCCATGTCTCTGTTGTTTGAGAACTCTTCATCTGGGAATACAAAACTGTGATAACATTTCTGAGAAGGAACCAGAGCAGGCACATGGCCATAGGAGCATTTCTGTTCATGTGGCTTCATCTTTGTCTCTACAGGCATGGAGTGAAGGTCCTCTAGAAGTGGGTCCTCTGGGTGTACAGTGTGTGTTTTTCCTGACTTGGAGAAGTGTATTAATGACATGCATGAGTCCCAGGGAGTTCCCCAAGAGAATGGTGCTCTGCACAGTCCACTGCTGTACCTGGAAGGTACAGAGAGTGGCGGGATCCGCTTCCCCATTACTTAGCTTGTTTTGGACAGGGAAGCTGGGTGCTCATTGGTGATCATGACTCTCTCCTTTTCATACCATTGGGCCATGTCTGCCCTCCACATGGCTGGTGCAGAAGTAGGGCGGGAAACCCTGTTGTCAGTGTGGAATACCTGATGAATTTCATGGTCATGGTAACCTGTCGTAAGGATTTGGGAAAATGCCTTTTGGCAAGTGTTATCCTACAAAGTATGACAACTATCCATATTTAGCTGCCTTTATACAATGAATGTGTTTAAAATATATTCTATAACTATAAGAGCATGCCGTTCAGATATGTTATAAAACAGTTGCTGCTAATCTATTTGTTTAGTAATTTGTTAATTCATTTACTGTTTATTGAACATCTGCCACATACTAGAAAATGCTAGACACTGCCAGGGAAGTAGTGACCAACATGACATAGTCCTGAGCCTGTTGTCTGTGTGCATGAAGATATACACAGAGGCAATTGGAGAGTGCTGTTAGTTATAGAAGGCAGTGTCTGGGAAGGGGACAGTATCATGGGACTAGGTCAGAGGGAGCCCATTTCGGGAGACCGGAGATGATGATGTATGGTTGACCCTATTTTGAGGGAGCAGCTAAGACAATAACCTGGAGCGTGGTGTGTTTGAAAACTGGGAAAGGCAGTAGGTGTAATGTGATTGAGGTATAATGTAGAAAATGGTGGAGGTGGAAGAGCAGAGATATGCATGCATATATAGAGGGAAAGAGATACACTGTATATAGTGATGAGAAGAGACTAAGTAACTTGCAGTCTCAGAAAGCTAAGGCAGTCAAAATCTCAGAGTCTACCCTGGGAATGGAACCCAGGCCTATCTCAAGAGTGGTTCCTGAGACCAGGGAATGTATTACTCTGATTGTTGAAACCAGGTCACCTGTCAGGGGTGGAGTTAGTCCCACACAAAGTAAAGGATTTCCCAAAGGAATTTTAGATACCAATTCCTGGAGTAAAGGAGAATAGGTCATAGACTAAAACATCAAGAACTTCCCCCTTGTCACAAAGAGTTTTGAAAACTCACAGTTGAAGGAATATACCCAGATTTCTTTGAGGGATTGATACGAGGTTGCTATAGTTTTATCCTAATAATAAAGTTCAGCATAAATTCATTTTTATTCATTTTTAATTGCATTACTTATTTATGTTCTGAAAATAATCACTTTGGGGAGGCTGTATAGTTTTTCAAGAGCGATATAGAATGAAAATTGTATATTTTGATGATTGTCTATTAACAATGATAAAATGTTAAAGGGATGTGAAATCTCAGAAGATAGATTGTCAAGTAAGAGTCTGAACCCAGTAGTTCTGAGCACTTTATGGTCAGTTTCCAGCAATGACAGCTTGGTGTATGTCTTGTCCTTGTAAGCCCTAGTTTTCGTCTTTCATAGTGTCTGGTTTTTGCCCATCTGTTTTAAGTGGCGTAGACTCAGAACTTCCCCTGGAGTATGGTGAAGAGGTGGCAGGTGTGGGCAGCTGCCCACTGGCTTGCTTTCAGGAGGTGAAATTGTCCATGGGCCAGCCTTTTCAGTACCCCTCTCATCTCATGCACTTCCTGCCTTGCTTCTGTGTGCTGTATGGATATTGGCGCCTCCCCGTCTCCTGCAGCATGGAAAAGAAAGGAAGATTGGGCATATCCTAAATTTTTAGATAGCACTTAAGACGATAAAGGAGTTTCAAAGCAATGTATTTCATGTTGGGTTTCATGTTGGTCATTTTTTGTTAGGAACTGACTCTGTTTTTTTCCAGTGTATTTAAATTCTTCATTCTTGGTTTGGAAATTGTGTTTTGCTACGAAATTATTAGTTTCCTCTGAATTTTCAAGTTTGTTGCCATAAGTTGCTTCTGGTATCATTCTTTTATATTTGTATTTATTTTGATGTCTGTATATGTGCTTTTGTCTCCTTTCTCATGTCTAAATCTTTGTTTTATTGTTCTATCTCTTTGGAGGCTTGGGATAGGAAATACATCCAGTTTTCTACTCTTTAAAAACTATTTTTTATTTGTTTATTCTTTCAGCTTTCCTTCTATTCCATTAATTTCTGGTTTCCTCTGGTACATGCTGTTTGCTTTGTACTTCCTAAAGTTGTAAGAACTCAGTTCCTGTTTATGTTTCCAGAAATTACAGCAGTTTGGAACTAGGTGCTGGGTGGGGCAGGATTCTTCCTTTTGTACACAAAATATGTGCAAATTAATACTATATAACTCACAGTGTATTTCATATTAATACCTTTTGAGAATCCTCATAGCACTGTACCAACTCTTGGGAGTAATTACTAAGCTTTAAAATTTTGTTATGTTCTGTGAGCACCAAGTATCAATAGAATTGATAGATTCTGTAGGAGTGCCTAGTTGAGTGAATCACATTTCTGTTGAAATATGTTCAGATAAGAGAAGAAATTGCTTTCTTTTGTACCTCTGTTGCCACCTTTTTAGTTTCCAGGGAAAGATTTGATAATAGCTTAAATTATGTGAGAGATAACTATAATTCAGTCATCTTTTAAACATAATAATTCTAAGTGGAATAGATAGAATGTAGTTGTTTATCTGACTTCTGAGAACACAGGGGCCAGTGTTTCTGTTCTGTTCTGTGCATCTGACTGCTCATTCTCCCCTTGTTTGCCATATCCTAAAATACCGTATTTTCTGTGATGGAATAGCTCTGGGATAAATAACATGTTGTCATGCCCAGACTGATTTTTTGTTTTTTTTTGGTTGTTTTTGTTTTTGATAGTGGGAGGAAAGCAACTGTTGTCATAAGAAAATATCTTCTTTTCCAAGAGCCCTCCACATAATCTCACAGCCATCTAATCTAAGGCCTAGTGGAGAATTGGCATGCTATTTATTTAGCTAGTTCAGATTCTAATATTTTCCAACTGAATTTGTAGTTGTAACTTATGCTTTCAAAAAGAGTGCAAGAGGCTGGCTTTGTTATACTTTTCTTACCGTCATCAGTTTTAGAAGAGGTTAGATTTATTCTTCAATTCTTAGGTCAATGAGTTGGGAAATAGGATTCTATCATGAGTTGGAGAAATACGTAATGCCTGGTAATATTTTTGTCTTAATTGAGGATAAAAAGAAAATGAAAATATATATAGTTGAGTTGATCAGATCAAGTTTCCACAGCACCTGGGATAATATTTGCCTTTATTTTATCCTGCCCACTTGATGAGTTGCTGGTGCATATTGAGCTGGAAATTGTACTTTTTCAGTAACCAAATTCTTAAGAACTTCTTCCCACTCTCAGAGTCCTTTGAAAGCTCCAGTTTAGTTGTGAATGATTGTTATAAAAACTCATTTGTTAATAGTGGTATTGACTCTTCTACTGGGAGACATTTTGGCTTCCTAAAAACAATGTGTAATGACACTCAGATGCATTACATACTCGGTTACTCTTAGTGTTACTCTTAAAGCTGATTTATGTTATGTGGTCACCTCATTTGAGCCAGACTTTATGGAAGTAGCCTGGCACGTAGCTGAAGGGTAAGTCTCCTGGCTTTCTGAGGCTGAATGTCACTGATCTGGTAGAGTAATTGGAAATGGAGAGGCTGCTCTTGGGTATACTGTAGATGTGGGTGCTGCCCATGAGAAGTGCTCATTGCTCAGATGTGGATAACAGTGGGAGACTGTTTCATCAAGAGTGTACTGTTTGGTTCTGTGAGAGTTCTAGCCGGACTTTTAAAGAACAAATGCTATGAGAAAAAAAAGCACTGTGAACAGTGCTGTGCAGACAGGCAGACATGAGACTTCCTAACAATTTGGGGTAATTAATTTAGGCAGAAGCAGATATGAAAGATGAGAAAGCAGTCTTCAGAATGTACTGAATTTGAACAAAATTAATTGCTAATGGCTGTTTCCTGTCTTTTAATTCAGGTGAAAGAAATACTCATGACGAGACATTTTCCAGTATGCTGTCCAGAAGAACAGAGGAGACAAAGTTATCATAACAACTGGAAACAAGGTGACTTTAGAAGAACTGAGGATGTTGTTTGCCTTTGGTGAAAAAGAGCAAATAGCACTGTAGAAGCCTTTATAGCTGTGTTTATTCTAGTATTGTAAAGACAATGGAATTGGCTCCTCACCAGCTGTTCTGGTGAGACTTGGAACTTCTTGCCTCAGTGGACATGAGTGATCCAAGGCAATCACAAGCAGAGCAGCACAAGTTCAGCAGAACCTCTTCTAAATTCATGGATCCTTCCAGAATCATGCAGTCAGATGATTATTTTGCTCGAAAATTTAAAGCCATTAATGGCAACATGGGACCTACTACTTCTTTAAACGCCTCAAATCCCAGTGAGAGTGGTGGAAGTGGTCCAACCAATGGTACCCCAGCTGTGCCCAAAATGGGTGTGCGAGCCCGAGTGTCCGAATGGCCTCCTAAGAAAGACTTCTCCAAGGAACCAACCTGCAAGATGCTTTGGGAAAGCCGGTCTCAGACCAGCTATGAGAGTGTCACATCCATCCTACAGAATGGGCAGAATGGCCAGGGTGACAATCAGCAAGAGGAGCAGCTGGATCTAGACTTTGTAGAGGCCAAGTACACCATTGGAGACATCTTCGTTCACTCCCCTCAAAGAGGACTCCACCCCATACGGCAGAGAAGTAACAGTGATGTCACCATCAGTGACATTGATGCTGAAGACGTCTTAGACCAGCGTGCTGTCAACCCTAACACAGGGGCCGCCCTGCACAGGGAGTACGGGAGCACATCCTCCATTGACAGGCAGGGCCTGTCTGGAGAAAACTTCTTTGCTATGCTCCGGGGGTATCGAGTGGAGAATTATGATCCCAAGGCGGCAGGTCCTTTTGGGTTTCCAGAGTTTCTGCCCTGCGACCCTGCAATCTCGCCCAGCCTTCGTGCTGCAGCCCAGATTTCTAGGGGAGAGATTGTCCGTATCTCAGGATTAGACTACCTGGATGGCGCCCTTCTGATGGGGAGGGATAGGGACAAGCCTTTTAAGCGCAGATTAAAATCAGAGTCTGTGGAAACATCCCTCTTCCGGAAGCTGCGGACCGTTAAGAGTGAGCATGAAACCTTTAAGTTCACATCCGACCTGGAAGAGGGCCGTCTGGACAGGGGGATTCGCCCTTGGAGTTGCCAGCGTTGCTTTGCACATTATGATGTCCAGAGCATCCTGTTCAACATCAATGAAGCCATGGCCACGAGGGCTAATGTTGGCAAAAGGAAAAACATCACCACTGGGGCGTCTGCTGCATCGCAGACCCAGGTGCCCACAGGCCAGGCCAGTGGCTGTGAGTCCCCTCTTGGCAGCAAGGAGGACCTCAATTCCAAGGAGAACCTGGATGCAGATGAGGGCGATGGCAAGAGTAATGACTTGGTTCTCAGCTGCCCACACTTCAGGAATGAGACTGGTGGTGAGGGGGACCGGCGAATCGCACTCTCCCGGGCCAGTTCAGGCTCCTTTAGTTCCAGTGAGAGCTGCTCCTTTGAGTCATCCCTCAGCTCCCACTGTACCAATGCAGGAGTCTCAGTCCTGGAGGTTCCCCGGGAGAGCCAGTCCATTCACAGGGAGAAGGTCAAGCGCTACATCATTGAGCATGTAGACCTTGGAGCCTACTACTACCGAAAGTTCTTCTATGGGAAAGGTAGGCACTTCTGGTGGGAGCTGGGGTAATATCGTCAGGCAGGCACAGCATTTAGCTTTGCATGGAAGGAGTTCCTCAGAGTTCCATTGGCTGCAGCCCACTGGGCCTGGCCACTTCTGCCATGAACCTAGGTTTGCCCATGCCAGTGTATGCCTTAAAAACCAACTCTGCTTTTGCCAGCTTGTAATGCCCAATATGACAAATCCATCTGTCTCTCTCTGTTGTCTGTCTCACTCTCTTTCTGTCTCTGGCTCTTGTCTCTTTCTCACTCTGTCCTTGTCTTCCTTGGTAGTCTTGAAGACTTCTCTGCAATTGCTTATTTCTATCTCCTTTCATAACTTGCATGTAGCCACCCTCTGGCTGAATTGTGAGTGGACACAGATACACAAGGTGGCAGCCCAGGGACATTGGCCTCATCTCCAGTTTGGGGCTTGCCTGAAGATCTGGGAACCAGGCAGCTTTGCAGAGCCTGAAAAGCCAGGCATAGACCTCTGGGACCTCCTGGTCTGCAATGCTGTGTGACTGTGCTAAGGAGGGTACCCCGATTAGCTTGAGTTGGGAAGTAACAAGGGTGAGAATACTGGCAGAGTCTGCACTTGCTGTTCAGTGCAGCTCTGAGCTGTGTGTGCCCTTCCTCTGTATTAAACTCTTCCCATGACCCAGACTTAAAAGCTGTATTGGCTATGGTAGTGTCTGCTGCCATTGTTGCTGAATGTCACTATTAGGGTGAGAAGCCACTGAGGGGACAGGTTCCTGAGTGGTGAGGTGGTCAAGGAGCCTCCCCTGCTGTGGGCAGGCAGACAGAAGCAGCCTTCAGATCATTGTCTATAGCTGCTTCTCGTTGAGTGGTGCCTGCTGCCTGGAGTTTAACCTGAGTGTAAGGACATCTCTGTTTGAAGCGCAAGCTCCACTCTCACTGGTAGAGGCCGAGCTTTGCAGACAGCTTCTTCCTGTCCTTTTTCTCTTTCCTTTCTCTTTGGGAACTGGCTTTTAGGGATCTTTTGATATTTTCTGGAACACCTTTTATTTTACTCTGTTCTACGTGAACCTTCATTTTCAAAAGGCTCCCTGTAACTTGAAGATGTTTAAAGAACCAACTTTAATGAGGCAGTTTGATCTTTACTGGGTGGTTAATGGGAAGAGGCTGCTCTTAATGCCAACATGTGTCTCATGACAGTCACTGAAAGACGTTGTCATGCCTTTTAGAAACATTATATGGGGAGTGACTCCTGCTGTAAACTGTTGGCATTACCCCCTCAGATAGATCTTTCCATCATCTTTGTGAGATGACTTTTTTTGAGGAGTGGATGTCAGCACTGGCACAACCTATGCAGGGACAGCCCTTCCTCTTGCTGGCCATGGCTGAGTAGAAAGGCTAGTGGCCTTGGCTACCCTAGTAGTGTCCCTCCCATGGAACTCAATGTGGACCTGATGTCCCCTCTTCTGAGACTGGTCCTGGTGGAACGGACCACCACAAAGGACCTTTGGACAAAGACTGTCCTCACTTCAGGTGGATCCTGGACCATTACAGGTTCCATTTTTATTGCTTGGTGGAGACACCAGAGGATTCTCATAAACAGCCAGCTCCACTCTGTGCATTAGTCCTTGTGAAACTGAGGGGCTCAAGCTATTTGGGATCCTTTTGAGGCTCCTTCTTGAACTTATGGGTGTGGGGTTGTGAAGCCCTGAAATTTACCTGTCTCCCACCTTTACTGACATGCAAAAGACTTCCTCTTTGGATCCTTAAGATCTACATATCAGGCTGAAGTATAAAGTGTTCTGGGTTCTCAGGCCCCTGGCACTGCCATATTCTGAATTTCAAACTCCTTTTGAGGATTTTCCACAAGGAGTCCAAGAAAAGAATTATGCACATTTTGGAAGTCCTCGTTAGGCTGGGAACTGATTTAGTGGGAAGAATTAGCTGTGTGGGTGAAAAAGCCATCTTGCTTTGACCAGTTCTTTCTCCTCATCTCCTGAGAAGTCCTGGTGTGTTATAAAAAGAATGTTCCAGAGAGGATTTCTCTTATTCACTTCTGATGTTAGCTGCACAGGGACTTCTGGGATAAGGGCAGCTTGTGACTCTTTTTACAGGAAATTTCCAGAGAAAAAGAGGTTCTAGCTATTCCTAAGTGGAATGGGGCTCCCACAGAAGGCATAACCACATCTCTTCAGGTATGAGACCAGCCATTCCCATCCCAGGGTGCCAACTCTGGGCTTTAGAGGCCTAGTCTCAGCCAAGCTATTGGCACTACCCAAGAGTAAGTTTCTCTGTGGTATCTGTGACTGTCCAGGGGATCTTTCTAGACCTCCTTTCTGTACACAACTTCAAATTTTATTATTTCTAGCAAAACACCCTTATCTAGCTCTTTGTACATTCCCCATTCTCTCCAGAGTTGGCCTTTGTTATTTGCACATTAACTGAAGGTTGATATACATAAAATAACTAAATGAGCTAATTAAAAGAAGATTCTTCTTGGTTTCTTTTTGCCACTAGCAGAACTGTCCATCCATTATGCTTGTACTCCACCTTGATTACCCTAGGCTTATGGATGAGGCACAGTGGGAAGCACATCCCAGCTTCCTTGGGGGAAGCTCTTGAACTTTGTGGCTCTGTTAATCATCTGTAAAATGGGCTAATGACATGTGAACCCCCTGCAGAGGGCTCAGCACAGTGCCTGTCACATCTCCCCTCCCCTTTAAATCAAAGCGTAAGATGTTTTCTCTAGAAAGAAGCCAGTGTTCACACTCCTGGGACAGCATTTCAAGGGCAGTACTTGTGTTAATGGTTAAAAGATGAAGAGAGTAGAGAAAGCCAGCCATATGACTGTGGATTCTGGGAAAGTGTCTGGTGAAGCTTGGCGCCATGTTCTAGATACCTTCCATGTCACCCATGTGGTGGCCGGGGCCAACTACATCTTTAAAGTTAAGGAGGACTCACTGCTGAGTGATAATGTGGCTGCCTTTGCTTTGAATTTCATGCTTGGTGGCTTTTTTCTTCTTGTTTTATACAGTCACTGACAAAAATTAATAGGAAATTGGGCACTGTTAAATTTATGTGGGTGAATGAAGTTCTGTTCAACAATGGTACTATTCAGAGAAACAGATTCCTTGCTCAGAAGACACAGTCTGCTCGGTGTTCAGCCTGTATCCCCCACCAGTATTACCACCACAGACAGAGGTCACATTGATTCCCGGGGGCTCCTGACAAGGGGAACTGCCCAGCTGCACGTGGTCCTCATCCCTGTGGCTGCTGTTACATTGTTTTGCATGTCTTAAGTGGAAATGCCTCCTCCTCTCTGCAGGGGTGCAGTAGGTGGGTCTCATTCCCTGGACCTCTGGGAACCTACAGAGGTCTCCAGGCTGCTTCATACCTGCTACCATCCTTTGCCTTCAACAGTCACAGTGGAAGAGGACCAAGTGTACCATATGTCCCTGGGAGAAGAAAGAAGGCTTACCATTTCTGTGCACTTTAGGTCTGGCTGGTTAATTACAAAGCCTCCCTGTCATTTTGCTTTCCTGGCCAGTAAGCTGGAAGCAAAGATCTTCAGGACATAAGGTCTCAGAGGGTCTGGAAGCTTAGTATAATAACTGCCCTGTGTTTGTTCAGATCTAAAGTTAATTCCTCCTCCTACCTGAGGTATAAAAGCTTGGCAAGTGTTCCTTACCAAGCAAATATAACTGATAGTTATAGATTAGTAAAGGAAGCCTTAAGACTGCTATAGTATTCTCTAGACTTTCATTTTTTATAATTTCCTTAAAAATTGAATTTTTATGGTAACATCCTTAGGTTCAGGAAAGATTTGTCTCATAAATTGTGTTCACTCACTTGCACTGGCTGGTTGTTATTACTTAAAGCTCTGTGTGAATTTCCTCTCCTGGGGTTGCTCCATGTTAGCTCTAGAGCGTGGCTGCCATTTGCATCCTGACCTTTACACCAGAGTGTGACCTTGAGGGAACCTTTAACCTTTCAGCTTCAGGCCTGTTTATAAAATGGGGTCATGGCTGTGCCTTCTCATTGGTGGGGAAATGAGTCGTTTGTAAAAGAAAGTTCAATATTTTAAACATTTTATTATTTTTCTGTATAATAAAATAATAGATTTTCCAAGTTAATGCTTCAACAGATGCACACAGCAAAAATCTACTTCTTTTCCTAGCCTACTGAATTTACTGATATGATCCTGGAAGTATGGGCAAAGTACACAGGATCTCTATAGACTGTGAAGTAACCCTAATGCTGCTACCTGTAGAAGCAAGGTGTTAAACTTCACACATGCACCTTTTCTTTGTAGCTGGTAGAGTGATGGACCTCAAATGCAGACTCACAACTGCCATGGAGGGAAAAGGGAGGCAGGGTACCTGTTATGGAGGAATTTGGAAAGGACCTGGCAGCAGCCTGCATGTGACCCAGATCAGCAGCATTGCACACCATAAAATGACCAAATACTGCAGTTGTTGAGAGAACAAAAAACTTTTAAGCCATACTGTTGAGACAAATGGCAAGCAGTCTCTGTTGTACATACATGTGAAGCAGAAAACTGTAGGGTATTGAGCCCATTACTTATGGTTTTGGTGCATTTGTGAATTGTGCTTTATCTGGCCCAGGTGTGTGGAGTTAGTGACATTCATAAGTTACCAGAAAAGTCTCTTTTCCAAGAGATTGCACTGTCTGGAAGAATCCATGGGCCAGAGTCTCAGGGCACCTCCCACTGCTTTTTCTCTTTGGAGTTAAGATTTTTTTTCCTTTTTTGATTCACTGAACATCCAGAATACACTGCTGAGTCGCGCTGAATCTCATTTTCTACACTGCAATCTTGTTAACTGTCTTTTTTTTTTTTTTTGTGCTGTTGTTATATGTGCATGATATGTGGATTTCCATTCAGCAATCTTTTTACAGCTTTTCTTCTGCCAAGAAAGTATTTTATTTGGTTCATTCTTACAGCAGTTTTATGGAAATCATTAGCTCAAAAATAAGGACAGGCTATGGAGGGAGGGGATAAGGG